ATGTCCAGAGATTGTATTTTTCATGTATAAGAAATAAGTATGCATATCGTGAATAATCGTCTATGAATGATATAAAGTATTGTTGACCATTCCACAAAGGTGTAGGAAATGGCCCACAAATGTCCGTATGTATTAACTCTAAGACGTCTGTAGCTCTATATGCACCTAATCTCTTTGCTCTGGTCTGTTTGCCCTTAATGCATTCAACACAAACATCAAAGTTTTTGAAGTCAATGGACTCTAAGATTCCATTTAACACAAGTCGTTCAACTCTATTTTTAGAGATGTAACCTAAGCGTCTGTGTCACAATGCTCCTGAGTGAGTATCATCAATTTTACGTTTAGTATCCCGTGATTCTGTATTAAGGATTTCATTATAGGTGATCACAGTATCAAGTAAATATAGACTATCATAAGCAAAAGTGAACCAGTTCCAACAATATCTGAATTAAAAGACAAACTGAACTTATTATTTCCAAATGAATATAAATAACCTAATTTGTCCAAATAAGAAACTGAAACCAAATTCCGTCTAAATGACAGCACAACAAAAGTGTCTTTCAAATCCAAATAAAAACCAGTACTCAATAACAATTTAAAATACCCTATAGCTTCCACCTCTACCGATTTGTCATCTCCAACATATATCCATCTTTCAGAATCAATTGGTTTTCAGTAGCTTATACAACCTTTCATAGAAACACTGATGTTAGTAGTTTCACCTGAGTCTAACCACCAAGTGTTACTAGGTATTGGCGTTAAATTGACTTCGAACGGACCAAAGTATGAAAAATACTTTTGAGAATCGGAACAAAATTTAAATTGGCGAGATACTAGAAACAATTGTAGTCTGAATTAAGAACAAGAGAAATAAATTAATTATGCTCACATTATAAAAATAAATAATTATAAATAAAATATATATTCAAATAATGGTTTAACCCATCTCAAGACACCATCAATCTCAAGTCTTTGGACGAGTGATATTAAGCTGCTAGAGGTATCTTGTTGTAATAATCAAACATTAACAATAAAGCACGTCCAACAACAAACCAGTCTTTGGATTGATTTATCATCGACAAAGCAAATCCTTATAATTATCACATATTTATCATTACAGGTGTGTATGCAATTCGGCCAAATATTAATCTTCCTTTGGGTCGACTAATACTCGCATGAATATACACAAACACTAACATTCAATATTTTTCACGAACTACCCAATTCAAGAGAGGTTATTTTGGTGACTTCTTGACTCAATTTGCTCACAAAAAATATTAAACTTCCAAAAATTTGAATATTATATAACAAAACCAAAGATTTAATATTTTTCTATAAATAAATTTATATAAGAGAGACCGCTTTAGCGATTTCTTAATTTAATTAACTCATGTAAAATATAAAACAAAGCGAGAATTTGATTATTTATTTATTAAAAAAAATTATAATGGCACGGATATCACCACTACCATTCGTAAAGCAAAAGTTTTCCATTAGAAGTATTAATCCCTTAATTTCAATATTTGAAAACCTGAACATTTCAACTCATGTGACAAAAGTACACGTGATTCAAAGCGCATTCATTCCCTTTGTTGACCATTATAGTCATCCCAACATAACAATAGAGCACGGGTTCCGAGACCCCAAAGCCAAGACCAATTCTTCGTACGAATGATGGTAGCAATTAACAATAAATGTATTTATAGTCAAAAGCAATACACCTAACTCTTCACTACAATCATCTCCTATCGGAACCATTGGAGCCAATCGGGTTTGGTCCAAAATATCTTCTCGCGAAACGCCACCTACATAGCCCCTCACTATTACTTTTCCGATCTTTGTTTGGACTTGTGATCAGTGATCAGGAGCAGATCGGGGATTTTACCCCCAAATTCGAAATTAGGTTTAAAATTGGGAATTTATCCCAAATTTGAATTTAGGTTTACAAAAATTGGAGATTATTCTCCACCTAGGGTTCTGAATTAATTTCCAAAGACAAACATGAATCAATTATGGGTAGCTCTGATACCAATTGTTAGAAAATTAATAATAACTATAATCCTGATTTTGATTTTAACGATCAAACATAAACATAATCTCATACTGATAAACATATTGTAAACTAAATGCGAAAGCGCACCTGAATTAGCCATAATAATGATATCCTTTTTTGGAGCACTATATTGGTCTTATGGTCTTCCACCTGAAGAACACCTGTATTTTTTCCTTGATTTTCTCTCTTAATGGGGATAGAAAGAAACGAACGGGAGTGTAACTTACATTCTGTCTACGTGCTCCCAGAAGGGGACCATGACCCCTTAAAATAATCAGAATTAGGTTAATTACTTGAGTTTCAATATTTCTAATTTGGTCCCTCATCAAATTAGAAATTGTTTTATGGTCTCTACACAATTTTATTTTCATGACATGCCTTTAGCTAAACTTTTTAATTTAGTCAAATCACTTTATTATTTGGCTTAATAAATAATGACTCTAACACATTTAAATATGTGTCATATATATACATGACCCAAATTTTTCCAATAAATGTTTCCCATAACGTAAATTTAAATAATTATAAAACTTTTTGAATTCTCTTAAAGCAAAGATACTAAGACTTTATGAATTCTCTTTGAGACATTGGGACTTTGAATTCTCTTTCCATAAATTTTTATATTATATATTATCTTTCTAACTCTTTGCATTTTATCACAATAATAAAAAAAATTATTAGTAAAGCGGGTCACGGACTGGTCCGCCCCGCAGGTTGGTCTGATAAGCTGGCGGACTTAGCGAGACTAGTCAAAATGGACTAACGGACTGAAAATACTAATTCGTCCCGCCATATTATGGCAGGTTGGGTGACCAGTCCAGTAGACCTAACCCATTTTACCATCCCTAATCTTCACAATTTTTTTTTTTAAGCTCCATATTATTAAGATATCATCAACTCAATTCAAGTTAGGACATCATTGTGCAACTAGTATTTGTTTGGACCAACTCAATTTGATTTTATTTAATTTGGATAAATCTAATCTAACTCATATATGACCTAGTCAAACGGGTTGATCAACCTTAAAAACTTAATTTAATTCAATTTATCCCAAAATATTTTGACCTGATTTATCAAACTAAATTCGACTTAATTAAACTTAATTACACTTAATCTAGATTTGCTTAAATTGAGTCTGAACAATGTGAGTTAGGGTCAAGGTGAACTAAACCAAATTAAAACCCTTTATCAAACTCTAGACTCACACTAACGTCGAAACTCCGAACCATAACAATCTTTGTAACTGTCGACAAATTATCCTTAATTGATCACGCAATCCTTTATTTTACAATCGTTATGAAATAACCACAATTGACCTGTTTTCTTATCGTCGTTAATCATTTTCATCATGAATCCAAAATCATCTGAAGCGCTCGAAACACCCACCATAAAGACAGTTTAATAACTATACTAAGTCCAGCCTCAAGCTTAAATTGACAAAATATACTCGTAAAGATAAAACTAATAGAAAATCAGCAAATTCATAATAATACAAGACCTGTTATGAAATAATAAATTTATGAAAACGAATTTATACCGAATTCACCTAAAAAAGCCTTTGCATCACATCAATCAAAATAGTACTTTCTCTTTCTTTTTCTTCCGACGTTTCCTTGGAAGCAGATAATCGAACACTGCGTAAAAATGCCTACTTATAATAAGAAATTACTTCATTTTGACAAACTAACAAACACGGACAACAATTACTTAAAAGTGGAATCTTCAATCTTTAACCTCCCACATATTTTCCCTCATTCACTTCCATCCAACAATATTCTCATAAACACATCAAGAATACGAAAATTATTGACGATAACTAACCTCCAAACTACGAAATAGCATTAAAAATCAACCATAAGTAAATAAGCAAAATAGAATGGTAAATCCGACTAAGCATAGATAGAAAATATCATATAGTATATACAGACCAAGATGGACATGCATTCAACAATCCACCAATTTATTTTGAAGTTCGAGTCAACCTTCGACTTAGAAAAAGAGAAACTGAATCATTATACCACTCGTCATACTCAACACATAATAAGAACCTTAACGAAGACGCAACAACTAAACACGTGTGCTCAACAAGTGAGCTCCATAATGTCAATAATATCATATCTCATTATCCAACTTTGACACCCACTTCTTATCTACCAACCTTCACAACTATATATGGTCTGTAGCATTGCGGCAGAAAAAAGGGCTAGCACTATGTATCACTTGCAACCAAATGATGGTAACAACGATTTTTACAGGTGCAACATTATGACGTTCCCACTATAGGAGTGAACAAACCATTGCGACACCACCAATCCCAGAAGATATAAGCTCGAATAGTCTTTTATTTATCACCAGCTATCCACCCAACCAACCAGACAAGGCATTTACTTTGTACGAACTTTGAACGGAAAAGATGTCTATCTTCCTTCGTCCGGGCCGAAGAGCTCATCATAATCTGTAATGATTTGTCAATAGTTAAACAACTCAAAAAATAAGGGGGAGCAGCCATAGCTCCCTTAAGACTTACAGCAAATTTTTTTGAAAGTGACCAGGCCAAATCGACAACATTAGGAAAGAAACAGTAAGCTCAAAATTTAGTGGAAAAGTTGAAGTGTGTAACTTGCTATATTGTCCTCCTTTAACATTGTATAGAGTTTCAAATATCAACAAATTGAAGAATTTGGTACTTACCTTTTGTAGTAGCAGGTGCCTGCAACAAGTCAAGGCCAAAGTAACTCCAACAACATTCAATGACGAGGCAGAAAAGTTGGAGTTTGATTGAGTAGCAAAAGTATGCAGCACATTCGCAACAATATGCCTTCAAGGACCTCAAATAGATAACTAATTACGTTAGCAATCCAGAAATGAATATGACAAAACAAACAATAACCAAACAGAAATAACAAGACCCACACAGAAGCATACCATCTATACTCTCATACTGACATCACACAAAGTAACGACCTGTCCAGATTGACTGTCCTTGAAATTGCTCAGGCAGAGGAGAAAACTGCTGATTTCCAGCTGTGAGCTGCTGTGGCTGCAGCTGCTGATCATGATGTGATTTTAACATATCATAATTTTGGTAATCTTGCCAACCATTCTGTTTCTCTGCATGAAGAGGCAGAGAATGAACTTGTTTCCCAGGAAAAGGAAAGCTGGCATTAGGACCGAAGCCATTGTTACTGACTAGCTGAGAATTTGACTGAGAGTAGTTGAGAGGACCATTGGAACCTAATCCTTTTGTTGATGAACGAAAATGATATCCATCCAACCAACTGTAATCATCCATCATTGGGTTACCACTAATTGAATCTGAAACAGTGGATTCAATACCTTGTTTGGGAGGGACATGACTGAAACCAGGAGGAGGTCCAAGGTGCCTAGTTGGTCGACTGACAGGGGCTTTTCTAGAACCAACTGGCAATGCTGCCGCTTTTACAGCTAAGTTATCAGTAACTACTCCAGAAGATGCAATAGCATCAACTTTTGATGGTATTACAGACTCCAGAGCTTTTGAGATACCATAAAACATGCCATTAGTATCAGCACCTATAGATTGTTGGATAGGAATGGGATGTGAAACATGGCTGGAGAAGCCAATAGCTTCTTGTAGACCAGGTTTCATCACATGTCCATTCTCAAACAACCCAAGACCTTTTAAATTGTTAGCAAGAGAAATTCCCTCCTCTAACCACCTTGATGTATGTGGCTGAACTGGTTGCATCTGTTGAGACACCATAGCACTACCAGGAACAGATAAAGTTTGATGACCTAGATTCATTAGAGGGTTAGGCGTAGAGTTCACCTGAAATTTTAAATCCCCTCCAGATGCTTTTACAACAGGTTCCAAACCCAAATGGGGTGCCCATGATGAGGCAACCACATCAGCACGTGTCTCTGACACTATAGGTTTAAAAACAATAACTTCGTCATCATCATCTCCTTCCATTTGCTGAACAATTTCCATCTCTGATTTCTCAGCTGAATTTTCTTGCACAAGCTCTTTTACACTCCGCATTTCTGAATAGGTGGGAATAAAAAAATCATCTGCAGTTTGAGGCTCAATACCAATTACAAATTTCTTAACCTTTGAATCAAAATATATCATCTTTTTGTCAACCTTAACAACATTTGCTAAAGCCTTCCCAGCAGCTAAAATCCTTTTGACCCGTGCATTTCTTTCTTTATCACCATCACTTCCAATGGAATGCTTCCTTGAAAAATCCAAGATGGTTTGTGCAGGAAGAAGTGGAACAAATCCCCTTAACTCAAAGTCCTCCCACAAAGCATGTCGGTTTTCAGTTTCGCCTTCCTCATACCTGCTCATGTTATTAAAGCAAGTCTCTTCTTCATCATCATCAATAGACAGAGGACCAACTGAAAGCAGCTTATTCAAGAAGGATACACATCGATTCCAAAATTCTGATCTCAAATTTGCTTGAGTTTCGTCCACATCATTGCCTGCAGCAAGATCTGGATAACAAGCCAACCACTCAACAAAAACCAAAATGCCTGGTAAAAGATAACTAGAAGAAGGATCAAGTAGCTGTGCACATCTCTCTATTATGTAGCCCATTAATTCAAAAGCTGCAGCAAATGCATTTTGAAGCAGAACAGCACGCTGTACAATTTCTGCATAGGTTTGACCTTCAGATTCCTTATTCACATTATAAACTGTAAATACTAGAATGCAGACAATTCTGACAATCACAAGTGCATTCTCAGGAGCATCTGTCCCAAAATTCAGCTCTTCATCTTGCCCAGAAGTCAGAAGCTCACGTAAGCCAGTGCTAACAGCAGCAAGAACTTCAGCAAAAGTCTCAAGGCTATTTTGAGAAACAAAGGATAGAGTCAGAAGTATATACGATAAACAGTGAAAATACATAGAAAATGTTAAAAATATACACCTAGTGCGCGTAAACAAGATTCCATTTAGACGGACAAAGCATGTGCAGAAGTATATGTAAGTTTCCTGGATACTGGATGCTCCTGTTCTAGGGCTGGCATCAACAGTAGTACCCCTTGCAAGTTTTGCTTCCCCTTTTCCTCTTCCTTTGCCCATTACTCGCCCAGAAGATTCCTTGACTGCATGCGCTTTAGCATCACCAGAAAGCTGAGAGAAACTTAGACGATTCTATCATGTATTGAAACAAAAGCTAGTTAGAATAATTATAGTGTAATGCCTCAAAAGGATCACAGACAATAAATAAAACATAAGGGGAACACAGGGAAAAAATCAACACACCCCATTCACAATATAACAATAAACATAGAATCATGTTCAAGGACATATTCTTTAACCCCAAAGTGTCCAGTCCACATAGACAGACTAGCTTGCACAGCATGTTTCTATAAAGATTTTTATACTACCAAATAAATATAATTATGTACTCAAAATACATGCATCAATTCCACCTCTGATGCGTACAGATAACATGGTTCCGCTAACGTGCAACCAATCTTAAATATATAACCTTATTTTTTAATTCACCTAATTTTCAGTATCATATACTAAGATTAAGAATGACTGAATCTGATCCTCATAATAATACTTTAGTCTGCAAGCAATAATTATGACATGAGATCAAGATAAAAGGCTGAATGACAAACCTAAGTAAAGAATAAAACACAAACTATTAAAGAAAACAAGAGTAAAAAAATGGGGCCATGGTCACATTACCTTCTCAAATGCAACTATCAAGTTTTCTCGTGCAGTTATAAATGGACTATCGACAGCCAGACTACGAAAATACCGATAAATAGTCACCAGCATATCCCCAGAGTATGAAGCCAACAAAGCAAGCTGGAAAAAACAGATTCATTAAAATGGAATATAAAATCTATGAAACATAAGTGAAAGAACAAACTATGAAGTGACCAATAGAAGTCACAATGGATGCATGACTGCCAAACACCTGGTGATGGGGATTCCCACTAGAAGGCCAAAGAGATGCAGCTTGCAAGTAGTAACTAGAAGCTGCTGTGTACTCACGGTTTTTTGAATCACCTTCACCATACATTCCTTTATAACGAGCAAGATCACCCAGGTATATCAGACAACGATGACAAGCTACTAAACCTTTCTTCATCTCAGCAGATTTCTTTCCATCTTTCTCCATAACAATCCGATTCTCTGAATCCTCAAAGTAACCAAGAGGAAGACCATACTTAGCTCTGATCTTTGTAATAAGGTCATGGTAAAATCCAGTTGCTTCTGAAAGGAAAGTCTTAAATTGTAGCCTTATTTTAGTAATCCGGTCAGGTCGTGCAGGGCCACCTTTCACTCCCTGGGATGAGTTTGCACTTGTGGAAGAAAGAGAAGCACCACTAAAGTATGCTCTAAACTCCTCAATCCGCTTGTAATGCAACTGCCAAAGTGCATATTCAATATTGTGCTGCTCAGAGAAAGCATGATCCTCAAGAATTATTGCTTCATAATTCTCACGCATCTGTTGCCAAGCATTTGGATCAGATGGGACCCTCGCCTGAGCTGACCTCCGACGCTTATTCTCCAATTCAAGGTTCTAGGTAACAAATAATTGTAATTTGTAATGTTACAAAACAGACCTCTAGCATTCATTTCACCAAAATTCAAGGTTCTAAGGGACAGATAATTATACAAAACAGACCTCTAGAATTCATCTCACCAAAAAGAGCTAATGTAAATCAATGTTAAAAACAATAAAACCATGGAAATCAACAGCAAGTTTAAAGTTCAGCTGATTTTTTTATCGAATGTATAGTCATTCATTTTCATGTTCAGCAAGTCACAGTCAACAAACGAATCCTTAAAAGTAGCAGTTCAATTCAAGGGTGCCAAAATATAGACATTGCTTACTTCATGCCAATTTATTTTATGATTGCCTTTTCCGGCAGTTATTTTTATCTTAGAAGAATTATTGTGAAAAAGAGACCTACCGAGTCAGCATGTAAACCAATTTCAACCTCATAAACTCTAAATCATTATAAAATATCTAGAGAGAAGGATTAGCATTTAATATTTTAGCAAAATACTAAAGCTTAAAATTGAAAATTTTGAAGACGACAATACCAAGCCTGATATTTATAATCAAGTAAAATTAACAGAAACTGATACTTAGCTAGGAAAAATAGAGAAATTTACACCAATAAATCATTGCAGCAAGCAATTTCAATTGAATTGCTTGTTCATCAACTTTTTAATGTTTCCATCACAGTGAATTGCCCAAAGAAGAGGGAAATAAGTACCTTTTCATAGAGGCGTTGGGCACGCTCCAGTGATGAAGGAGCAGACATTTTATCCATTTCTATTAACATCATCCATCAATTATTCCTTGGCTAAACAGACTCAAATCACATGAATCCTGCAAATACAATTATAAAGGCTCACTTCAAGGATTCATAGAATAGCACGCGAGTAAACTGATCACTGACTACCCTGGACTCCATAACCTTTGAAGTAAAACTGAAATCTGAATTACAGACCAACTAAACTTCAAAAATGAAGTTCGAATTGGACAAAACAAACCGAAGACCATTAAACAATATATCGCACAAAGTCACAATAAAAACATGCTCATAAATGAACCCTCCGAATGTCAAACTCAAACTCAAAACAAAATCCAGTAAAACACACTGACTAGTTAGGCTTCTGAACAAATATTGTCTCAGATAAAAAATAAAACAAAACTTAAGGAATCAAAAACTAAACCCACACAAACAAACAACACGCAGCAAAAATAGTTAAAAATCATACGAATCGGCACAATCCGTGATCAGATAATCGAGAAAAAGCAACAAAAAAAATAAAAAAGAAACAAAAATAACAATAACAAAAAAGAAATTATGTGAAACGCCTCAGCAACATTCAGACCCCAAAAAAACAAATCATAGACCTCAATTTCACAAACTCCAATAATAAGATTCTTGCAAATTCGAATGACAAAACCTCCTAATGGCAGAGCAATTTCATAAAATCGAAAAAAAAAAACGAAAATCGAAGACAATATCAGATCTGTAAAATCCATCAGCAATACATCGTACTAGAACCAATCAGGTCTAGGATTTAATAGCAGAATGAAAAGATAAACAATAATCGATGCTTCGCGACTCAAAAATTGAACAAAAGAAATACATAAATAAACGAATAAATGAATAAATAGATAATAAGCCAACCTGTGCGGGAAGGGATCAATCAAGAGCTTGCGATTAAAATTGAGAGAGAGGGATGAAGGTCTTCGTTAGGGTTTCGTTTAAGAGATAGAAAGAAAGAACGAGAGAGAGAGAGACAGAGAGAGAGTTTGTTGGGGTCCAAAAACGAGATTATGAGATTGGAAAATTCAATTCAACGTGTTTGTTTCTTTCTCCCTTTCTTTCTCTCTCTATCTCTTATTGTTACGATTAGTTTTTTTTTTTTTTTTTCTTACAGGCGGCGATGGCAACGACGGCGTTTAAAGGAACCCCTTTCCCATTCACTACTTTGAATTGACCTCTCTTTTATCTTCTTTTTCTTTTCTTAGTTATTTGGTGTATCTATGTATTTAAAGAGTTTTCAATTTTCATCTTGTGTTCATAATGATATGTTGTGTGAATAAATAATTAAATTTATTATTTTTAAATTTTATAATATTTAAAATAAAATGTGAATTAAGTTTAACTTTTTTATTTAATAAATATTTTCGTATAAATTCTCTTTTACTCTTTTTATATATTTATAACTTAACTCCTATATTAAGGTCACTCTCTCACATTCTCAACATCCTCATTTTTTTTTGTAATGTTTGTATTCTATAAACAACTAAAAATAATGTTTGTCCTTTACTTTAAAATAATACAAATTAGCTATGTTAGTCCTAATTATCTTAATTAATTTAATTCAGTTATCTTAATTAATTTAATTCAGAAAATATATTGGTGAAAATAACCTACAAAGACAAAATTTCCTTTTACAATGATTATTTAATAAATTTGAATTGGAATATATATATATATATAATAGGAAAGTATAATAAATTGATTAAAATACTATATAAAATAAAAATATGAAAATATTATAAAAGGAGTATTTTCCTATAATTTTAAAAGTTGTTTTGTTTTTATCTTACTGGAAATTCTATTCATTATTGTTGGAGAAATAGTTTCCTAAAATTTCGAAAGTTGGTTATTTTCTTTTTATCTTAATCGAAATTCTATTTTTTATTGTATTCTTTAATGCATAATATTATTGAATTTATTTCTCTTCTTATTTTTTTATTTTAGTTGAGTTTTTTATGATGTTTTGATTTTTAACAAAAATATTGTAATTACTATTTTGTTGTTATAATCATTAGAATAATATTTGAGGAAATTCATAATATATTTTATGGTTACAATTAATTTAATTTTTTACATCACAAAAGAATTATTTTAGTTTAAAATAATTGTAAGTCTGAATGTGAGTTTAAAATATTATTAAAAAATGTATTAGCAATACAGAGTGAATTTAAATTCTCATGAGATAGAATCATAGAAATATAAGATTCTAACTAGCGTTTTATTACGTATATAGATTTTCTTTGAAATACAACATCAAGCTTTGAAAGGAATAAGTGTGAACGTATCAAGTAAGGGGTGGGCTATATAGTAAGGATTACATCATAAACTTGTTTGACCTTATTTGTTGAATTTGTCTAAATTTGTTATGATTGATAATTTTGATTTCATTAAATGCTTGGTTGTGAAAGTGAATCATGAATTGCTTACGTGTATGATGGTATAAAATACATGCTTTGTACTCTATTATGATATGTATTGTCTTTGAGTGAGCATTTATATGCATGGTGGTTTTTCATGAGAAAATTCATTGAAAATTAAATTGAAAGAATTGGATGATGGGTTGTGAACCCTTTTGAAGCTGTATTGGAAGTTTTCGTTTGTAACAGGTGATTGGAAATTTTTGGGAAGTCCAGTATTACGGGGAAACTCTGTCAAAATTTTTGGAAAAATATGAATTTCTAAGAAAAACCACTTAGGGACTCATACACTACTCATCTGAAAAATGGTTATTTGTGAAATCTGGGGAATAAGAGATTATGGACTCTGAGAATACGATATGGAGGCCCTGAGGGAGGACTTGAGGATAGGAAGGGTAGTGGTTGGAGGCCCCAAAAGACCTAGGCTCGCTACCTGTTGTCGGGGATCCCACTGTACAAACTCTCCTGTACCTGACTGTGCTCTTACCGTATATCAATGGTCAGTGAGCTATTGGGTTTATATTTGAGCATGGGTCTCAACAATCCCGTGGGTGGATTTTCCATGCCTAATAGTGTCAACTCCTGGCTACCCCAGTACTGATTTGAGAAATGATTCGGGCCCGCATGCATAAACATTTTAGAAAACATATTAGGATCATGCATCATTAACATCAATCATTTGGAATTTGATTGACTTGTGAATGTTTATGATGTTGATTTTAAAATGATGTATGAACGGTTGCTCACCCTCTTGTTTTTCTGTTTTCTTTATTTCCCTTGTACTTGCGGTACTCGTTGGACCTGATCGGTCATTGTTTGAAGAGTGGGGAGATGTCACAGATTCCACACCCGATGAATATGACACTCATACTCATTAGCTGGGAGCCACAATGATGGCAACATGTATTGGGATAAACATATCTAAACTTTTATAAGCAGTCATTTGTGGTACATAAACCTATATGATATTGGGTAGTAGTCACTCTTATGTATAGTTTGCTGCTCTGTAGGAAGTTATCTCAATGTTATCCCTAATATTTTGAAGGACTGTACTAGTATTTTATCTATATGTAATTATGAATATTTACTTTTAGTACTTTCCATGTGAAGGTGAAATCTTTAATCTGGCTAGAGGAAATTTAGTAGTCATGAAAGTAGAGAAAATCATTATAAATTTGTATGTGTTTTTGAGATATCTGTTGCAAGAATTAAAAGCATTCATTGTAGCATCAAGTCAAGAAGAAACAATAATCATGCAACATCATAAACTTGGTTTTATGTTAAAGCAATGTCTAAAAATTTTTGCACAACGTAATCTTTTACCCTAAGCTCAAATAAGTTATTTTGTCCTTTTGTAAGGACAATGTGATAAGCAAGTACCATAAATTGAAGTTTGTTAGGATGACTACCATAAGTAAACACATATTGGAATTGATTTATTTTGATGTGTAGGAATGAGTAGGAAAATATTTTGTATATTGGTGATTATCCAAAAAGATTGTGGTGTACCCCATCAAAAGGAAGTCAAATATGTTTCCAAAGTTCAAGAACAAAGTTAGATCTAAAAAATAGGAAGTGTATATTATTAAAGTATATTACAATGTCAAAGGATATCACCTATAGGATTCTATTTCCCACAATGATGGAAATTGTTTTCTCCTTTCATCCACCAAGTAGAGTCACGGTTTAACCTTACAATATGAACACCCAAAGTGTTAGGAAAATTTTCCTTAAGTCCCTAATAAGGCTAGACACTAACTCCTCCAAAGAAGGTTTCTTATTTAGGAGAGGTAAGAGAAAGAAGTCCCAAAGAAAACTTTGAATACCAAGCAACAAGGTACTAACAAACATGCAAGTTCCACATAATAAAGCTTAATTCAATTCAATGTACCAAAAATGCTACACGAGGGCTCCTTATGTAGATGCTCCCCTCTCACTCACTCACTCACCTAGGAGATGTGGGACTTATTTTTATTAGGTGTTGAGTTTCTATGTTCAAGTCTCACCTTTCCCACTTTTAATTACATTTAAGTGTTTATATAGAATAATGTTCCCAAATGTTACAATTAATAGTTGAAGCTTGAACCTCTTAACATTGTGTACAACTCCTTTGTCCGAGAATTTAGAAGAAATGAATGCTCCCCCTTTTTGTGGCAGCCAAGGCTTGATCCATGCTCCTTCTCTTTAAGCTTTGTCCTCTTCAAGTTCCACATAGCTTGGGATAGGTGTGTTCCAAATATTTATATACATGAGAGTCTCCTTAAGGTGCAACCAAGTGTCTCAAGTGAGGTGTTGGCTGGTCATGTGGTTCCATTGTGGTGACTTCAGCCAAGTGATTGTACATTATCCTACAAAAGAGAAGAAAAGAAGAATTTTACAATTTTATATAAGACTAAGCTTCGTCCTCTTCAAGTTCCACCTAGCTTGGAATAGATGTGTTCCAAATATTTATATACATGTGGTGGCTTCGGGCGTGAGTGTACATCATCATAAAAAGAGATGATATGAATCACAAGGGGTAATTTAGGATTTTTAGGGTTAGAAGCTTGTAGGAAATTTAGGAATTTAGTGATAAGGTGGAAGGAAAGAATCACTCTTCCCAAGGAAGGTAACTCACAAAGGATGTGAAAGTCGTTTGATACAGTCCAAAGGTTCTTGAATCACTCAAGAATTTAGGAGAATCACTCTCACTAAGATAAAAGAGATAAACTCTAATTTTCTGAATAAAATTTCACTTGTTGTTTTTTATAAAAATGGTTCAGCGTATATAGAAGTTTTGCCATCAAAATTACAAAGATTGAATAAAGGAAAATAAATATTAATAATGATTTATTAACCTATGAATTGAAAACTACTTAATGGAGACAAATAAAGGCTAATAATGATCCATTAACCTAAGAATTGATACTACTTAATGACTGATTGTAACTGAAATTGTGGCAACCAAAAGTCAATCAGCTATACACGCTCTTGGTCTCCTAAAGACTGATAATTAAATTTCCAATTGGACCCTTATTATAACTTGCAATAAAATCAAACTAAAGTCCATTAATTGATTAATCCAAAACACAATTTGGTCAACCAACAATACTTGTTGAAGAGCTTCATTTGCTTCCCTTGCTCTAGCCCATCATAGGTCATGTTCACATCAAGAGAAGAAAAAAGATTTTACAAATTTATATACGACTAAGTGTAGAAGGGGATTTTTAAAATAAAAGACTTCAAAGGAGGAGGGTTCTTGGGGAGACTTCCTCCTCTTCTATCCTCCTAGCCATGGCCCAAGTGAGGGGCCCTATGTGTATCTTCATTAGAACATATTAAATTAAAATTATTGTACCTACTATAATAGGTTTGATAATAATGATGTTGTCATTTTACCATTATATGAGGATGATATGTTAGTGGTAAGTGCCAACAAAATTTGAATTGGAGAATTGAAGGCATGGTTAGTTAAAGAGTTTGATATGAAGGACTTAAGACCAATAAACAAAATATTAGGGTTGGAAATTTATCGAGACAAAAAATATAGACTTAACTTTCTTTAAAGAATTACGTATTAGGATGCTCAAATTACAAAAGTGTAAACAAATTTCTCTCCCATTTCATATTTACTATAAGTTATTCTCAAGTATGAGTCATAATAATGAAATAAAGATGATGAAAATGTTTGGAGTACTGTATGCAACATCGATGAGAAGTCTTATGTATATCATAATATGTATAAGATCAAGTATTATACAAGTAGTGAGAGCAGTTAGTATATTAATGAAAAACTTATTAGAGATCAATGAGTGTGATTAAAAAGGTCATCAAATACATCAAAGGAGCATTTGATGCTGCATTATGTTTTGAAATATCATAACTAGTTATCAGAGGCTTTGTTTTGTCAAGTTTTGTAGGTTATCTTGATAAATAAAATTGATTACTAGCTATGTGTTTACACTTGTAGGATGAATAGTAAGTTGGTTAACTTACAAGATAATGTAGCTTTGTCTATTAAAGAAGTTCAGGACATGACAGTCACCCATGCATGCAAGGAAGTTGTATGTATTAAAAGGTGGTTAACGGGAGAACTCGTACATAAACAATATTTTGTGTAGTGTGACTACCACTTCTTTCAAAAAGTACTAAAAGAAGGTAATATGGATATAGAAAAAAATTATTATGGCTTATTAGGAAGACAAACAATACAAATAACAAAAAAATAAGGTATAGGGTGAATATTTAATTAATTTAATGAAAATCTTCAAATAGACAAATATGATAAGAGAACTTTCATAATGAAGAATTATATTTTGATATTTACTTTTTTTTCATAAAAAAAAAAGGTATTAACTTTATAAAATATATGAATTTTTTTTCATTTTACAATTTAATACATAATAATTATATTTTCTTATTTTAAAAAAATATTATTACTTCCTCTTTAAATTTAAAGAGTAACATTGTAATTTTCTTTTCGTTAATAAAAATCATATTATTTTTTATTATTCCTTTTTTTCATCTTTTATTTAATATAAGTTATTATGTTATACTTAACAATTTTAAGTCAAAAATCATATTGAAAAAAATGGAGTTTATTTTTTTGCATATTTATTAAAAAAGAAAATATAAATTGAAGCTTACTATGATTAATGATTTAGTTTATATTCACTCAATTACCATATATATATATTGTTTTATTTATATTTATAAATATTGATTCATTTTTTAGTTAAAAGAAGTGATAATAATTTTTTTAATTATTTAACTATCACCCAATCTAACTTAAGTTTAAGGTTAAATTAAATTAGGTTAAGTTAATTTGCTAAATAAATAAGAAAAACTTAATCTAATTAATAAAGTTAACTTGATTCTGTTGAAAATTTTAACTCCACTTATGCCCTTGAACCTAACTATAGAAACTCTGGTCAACATTCAATTTCATCTAGATAATTAAAACAATATAAAAAAATAAATATTACTAAATTAAAAAATAATAATATAAATAATAAAAAATTAATAAAAAATATTTTAAATAAATATATTTCCCTAACTTCTCATTCTTCTCCTCTCCAACCGTCATACCTCCATTTTCTTTAGATATTCTCCATTTTCCCCCAATCTCTCCAAGTCCACTACCCATTCTCCCCTATTTTTCTCCGAATATTCTTCCCTCTTCCAAAAATCTCTTCTAATTTTCTTATCCATCCTCTTTATATCAAGGACTGCAAAATCAAGACAAGATAAAAAAAGCGAGAAATTTGCACTAGTAAAAAGCAATCTTAAGATATTATTTATCCTTCTTCCCTTTAACCTTTTATTATTTTTGTTTTATAATAATCATTTCTATGTTAATGCAATGTAATTGATAAATTCATACTTCTATTAAATTGGCCCATGCCATTATTTACCCTCACATTAGGGTTATCTGAACCAATCACTCATTTTTTTCTCTCCCCACACAACTTGTCTCACTCTTTACCCCAACACACCACGTCCCCCACTTGTGCCTCCCTATCCCTTCCTCACACCTCTAGTCTCACTCACTCTTCTTCATACCTAACACACCATGCCTCATCCCAACTTTCCCCACAATCTCCTCGCACCCAAAAACTATGCTTCGCGCCTCACCCACTTCCATACCAGCCTCCATCTTCTTCCCCAATCTCACTCCCTCTCCATAGTCGCCTTGACTCCAATACCCTTTCCCCTCAACCACTGAATCTCCCCCAACACTTCACCCTCACCCAACACCCTCCTTGATCACACCTTCACTATGACCAGTCGAGTATCCCAACCAAACCGCCACCTTTATGCCCACTGCACCACCATGAGTCATCACGGCTCACGCCTCAACTACAAGTCTAACCATTGCAACTCGCTCCTTATTTGAGCCCCAACATAGTTGATATGAACCTCATTTGCACAAGGGCTGACTTAAGATCTTTAGGGTTAGAACCTTGTAGGAAATTTAGGAAATTAGTGAGAAAGTGGATTAGAAAGTGGTGAAAGTTTTAGGGTTGGGCAGAATTATTGAAACGTCAATAACTCAAGCTATAAAACTCTGATTGAGATGATTAAAAAAACAAGGTGAAAGTTCTCATTCTGAATTTCAATTTAGGCTAAAAAAACACTCAATTTGGACGAATAGAATAAAAGTTATGACAACGAAATAAATCTAGACAAAATTGGGTTTTCTGGGTTCTGGTGAAGAAAGGACAAGAGGTAAATGTGAAAGGTCAAAGGAAAGAATCACTCTTCCCAAGGGAGACAACTCACAAATGATGTGAAAGTCATTTGATACAGTTAAGGGCTCTTAAATCACTCAAGAACTTAGGAGAATCACTTCACTAAGATAAAAGAGCTAAACTCTAATATTTTTGAATAAAACTCAAATTGTTTTTTTTTTATAAAAATGGTTTAGTTTATATAAAAAGATTTTTCCATCAGAGTTACAAAAACTCAATAAAGAAAAATAAATCCTAATAATGATCCATTAATCTAGGAATTGAAAACTACTTAATGGAGGCAAATAAATGCTAATAATGATCCATTAACCTAGGAATAGAAAACTACTTAATGTTGATTGTAACTGGAATTGTGGCAACCAAAACTCAATAAGCTATGCACCTTCTTGGTCTTCCAAAGGCTGATACCTAAGTTTCCAATTGGGCTCTTATTACAACTTAAAACAAAACCAAACTAAATTCCATTAATTGATTAACCCAAAACATAATTTGGTTAGCCAATTTTACAAAGGATTGGGTCATTATTTAAACAAACTTAAAGACTAAAACAAAGTGATACATTAGTCCTCCTCCATTTGGGCCATGATGCAATTCACAATTTTGGTCTTTTCTCCTTGAAATGTGGGCTTGTATTCAAATAATATGGACAACACTTGTTGAAAAGCTTCCTTTGTTTCCCTTACTCTAGCCCTTGTCATAGGTCCTTCAAGTGGATCCTTGCCCTTGCTCATGGTCATGTCCCCATCCTTCTCTTCCTCTTGAGAAGGATTTGTCCTCAAATCGAAATCGCCATCTACAAAAAGAGATAAGTCAGACACATTGAATGTGGAACTAACATTATGCTCACTTTTTGTTGATTTTTGCACTTTTAATTAAAAACACTTTATTTTATTTTTTATAAATTTCAGTTATTTAAATTTCGCATCAATTTAATTTTAATTACTGCACTATTTTTTTAAAGCAATTTTTTATTCCCGCACTTTATTTTAGTTTTATAAATTTTAGTTATTTAAATTTTGTTTCCATTTAATTTTAATTGTCGTTAATATTCTATAGCAATTTAATTTTAATTTTTATTATTCTATTTCAATTTATTTATTTTTCACTCTTCCATTCATCCCCTATTTACTCGTTATTTACTATTTTAGAGAGAATGATATGTGATAATGAGTATGTTCCTATAATTGTGTCCTTGTGAGATTTGACACGGTTTAGCTATACTGCATAGTTTAACAACTTGTTTATTATTTTTTATCAGTATTTTGTGTGACCAAAATCCTATTATCAAATACCCAAATATGCAAAGTGCCTCAAAGATCTATGCACTTACAAGAGAAACCTGAAAACAAATAGTATACAATTTGTCTCCACTTTGTCCAAATCCGCCTTGCCACACAAACATACTGATCCAGGAACATTATGTATCCCATGTACCATCAGAGAGGTTATCATTGCCAATGCCCTACTAGATTTAGGCGCATCTATCAATGTTATGTCCACTTCACTATTTAAATTATTGAACATAGGAGAGCTGCAATCTACAAATGTAGTCATTCAGATGGCTAACAAGAGTATTATTGCTCAGCCTATAGGGGTCCTTGAAGACGTGCTGGTGAAGGTTAACCAGTTGATATTCCCTGTAGATTTCTATATCATGAACATGGAGGACATAAACACGAGCTATTCCACTCTTATCTTGGGAAGACCGTTCTTGATGACTGCACGAAGAAAGATAGATGTTCATAATGGAACAATGACTCTAGAGTTTGGAGATGACGTGGTCTAATTTAACATTTTTGAAGCAAGCAAATACCCATCCGAAGATCACTCTAAGCTGCAACACCACTCTGTTTTCTGGATAGATGTAAAAAATAATTCTTGTATAAATGTAGATTTAGAAGTAGCATTAGATGAGGACTTTAACTTTACAGACATTATGGACATTCAAGTATGCGAAAATAAAAATAATATTATGGATATGGATTCTGACTGTTTGAAGGTTCTAAAGAAAAGCAACCCAAATCAAATTTAAAACCTTTACCTGATCACTTGAAATACATCTACTTGGACGAAGAAGAGAGGTATCGGGTTATCATAGCCATAGGCCTACTTAAGGAAGAGGAAGGAAAGCTAATAAAAGTCCTGCGTATAAACAAGAGAGCAATTAGATGGTCCCTTTCTGATATTATTTGGATTAGCCCAACCATTTGTACACATAGGATTCTGCTTGAAGATGAAAAGAAAGTGGTGCGCCAACCACAAAGGAGATTAAATCCCACCATTTTGGACATACTCAGGGAAGAGGTGATAAGATTACTCAAGGTCGATATCATATGCCCAATCTCAGATAGGACATGGGTATCACTAGTTCAAGTTGTGCCCGAGAAATCATGAATCACAGTTATTAAGAACAAGGATGATGAGTTGGTCACAACTCGGGTGGCCAACAAGTGGAGAGTATGCATTGACTACAGGAAATTGAACTAGGCCACTAGGAAAGATCACTTCCCTTTACCTTTCATTAACCATGTGCTTGAACATTTAGCAGGTAAGTCTTTTTACTGTTTCCTTGATGGTTTCTCTGGTTATTTTCAAATACATGTTGCACCTGAGGATTAGTATAAAATTACATTAACTTGTCCATTTGGTACACATGCTTATACACGTGGAGAGTATGCATTGACTAAAGGAAATTGAACCAGGCCACCAAGAAAGATCACTTCCCTCTACCTTTCATTGACCAAGTTCTTGAACGTTTAACAAGTAAGTCTTTTTACTATTTCCTTAATGGTTTCTCTGGTTATCTTCAAATACATGTTGCACCTGAGGATCGGTAAATTACATTCACTTGTCCATTTGGTACATATGCTTATACACATATGCCTTTTGGTTTATGCAATGCACCTAAAACATTCCAAAGATGCATGTTGAGTATATTTTCTGAATTGATTGAAACGTGGATGGAAGTATTTATGGATGAGTTTACTAGTTTTGGTGATTCATTTGATGATGGTTTTAAAAAACCTCGATTTGGTCCTTAAGTGTTGTATTGAAACAAACCTTGTGCTTAATTATGAAAAATGTCATTTTATGGTTAGGGAAGGTATAGTTCTAGGACATGTAATTTTGAAAAGAGGGATAGAGGTAGCTCATTCTAAAATTGACATTATTCATTCTTTACCTTACCCCTCTTTTGTAAGGGAAATCAGAAGTTTCCTAGGTCATGCAGGTTTTTACAGGATATTCATTAAAGGCTTTAGCAAAATTGCACTACCATTGACAAATCTGCTGCAAAAAGATACACCATTCGAAATTTCTGAAACATGCAAACAAGCATTTGAAGATCTGAAAGAGAGATTAACGACATCACTCATTATGAAACCACCTAAGGAGAAATTAACGACATCACTCATTTTGCACTTGTTATAATCTAGGTAGTTTTCTATGACCTTTGGATTTTGATTCAATTTTTGGTGACAAATATTAACCTTGTGAATTTTGGGTCAATTTTCCTTTCTGTGTGAATTCACTAGTAATTGCAGGTATTTTTGAACTTGTTCTTATTCTTTTTGTCACCATTGGATTTAATTGCACTTTTGATATGATTTAGGCCATCTTTTCATTTTTAGCCACTAGCCAAATAAAGCTTCACCCTTAATCATTTTTCCATTGCACCTATATTTGAGCTTAGTAACCACTTTCTTTGTGTTTTACCAACATTACAAGCCATAAATACCAAAAAAATTTGTTTATCACCTAAACCATTGTCGCTGCCGTCAAAAGAGGCGGTCGGAGCAACACAATGGTTTTGTTTGACTCGTGTTTTTTAAAGTGTGGTTCAACGCCTTTAGGTTGTGCGATAGCCGGGCTGGACCTAAAGGTGAGGTTTTCGAAAAGGTTCGAGGAGTCACCACCAATATTTTTACCAAAAACATTGGAAAAGGAAAAAGAAAGCGATGATTTTTTAAGAAAAACCAACTTTGATCATTACAACCAGAATTAGGTAAGGGAGTTAGTTACGTGTGGGGAAGGTATTAGCTTCTCCACGATGCCCCTTTCAGGTTCCCTATGATGGAATTTTTTTTTATAGAGAAATAAGAACGTTAAAAACTACGTTTTTACCCTTATTGCAAAAATTAAATTATTGACTACATGACCCTTAATAGCTAATGCACAAAAATAGTAAAAAACAATAAAATAAGGAATATGAAGGAACCTTCGAAGTAAGCTTTTTATAAGATATTCTTGAAAAGGGCATTTTTTGGCAATCCCCACGCTCTACAATGCAGCTCACTCTTCTCTCGAAGCACTCTAGAATGCCTCCTAAGAACTCCAAGAACTCTGGAAATGCTTTAGAGGGGTTCTGGGAGAGTATTTTGAGAATTATGCAGTTGGAGAAGTTGATGAATGGTGTGAAAATGAGGTGAAGGTGCCCCGCTTTTATAAGAATTCGCACTTGTCAGGTCGGGACCGTCGTCTCGCCAAATGAGACGGCGATCTCGCCTTTAGCAAGTGGCGAGACGACCATCTTGCCAAACGAGACAGCGGTCTCGCCTTTGGCAAGTGGTGAGATGGCGGTCTCGCCAAACGG